AAAGCCACAAGTCTTTAGGAAAATAATAATCCTTCTGCAAAGTAACAATGTTTCCACTCTTTTTCTGAATAATGACAACATTTTGGAAAAGACACAATATCCTTCAATGTTAAAGGATGTCTTATTTTAATATATTTTATATTATAGTATAGATATATATAGAGTATGTACTAAATTAGGTGCTTTAAGAAGAAGAATAGAAAACTTAGAAAATTCATAGTTTAAAAATGTGAAGGAACTCCTCTATTTATAGACATCAAAGGTATTATGAACATGTTCTTTTTTATCCTTATTATAAAAGACACAACTCTTCAGAGCAATCGCAAACCTTTAGAAAGGACACAACTCATCCAAAAAAATACAATTCCTCAAAAATGCCACAACTCATCCAAAAATTCACAATTCTTCAAAAAAGTCACAACTCATTGAAAAAATCACAACCCTTTGTAGTAATTGCAACCCTTATGAAAAGGCGCAAACCTTTGAGAAGATCACAACTCACTAGAGAATTCACATTCTTCATTCACAAAAGTTTAAATGTTTCAATTATTACTTTTTTGTTCTTTGTATTAGGTTGATATAGGAAAAGGTTGGGGAGTCTTATTTATTAGAATTGTTGTTGTTTGTAGTTTTTCTTGATTTTCCTAATTACTTGTAATTATTTTTATTCATTATATTTTTTTACATATGGTGCCCTCGAGAATATCAAATAGGGGTTGATATCATTCACATGATAAATTTATTATGCTACATTTAGGGGTATGTATTAACAATGATATGAAAGTGTAAGGAAATCTAGTTTCTATTGGCTAAAGAATTAATATAGGCCATCAAATTGAGTAACAATAGAGAAAGAGATAGTTGACTAATCTATGAAAAACATTCACTATTAAGAAGAAAATTTTATCAAAGAACAAATATTATAATTGAAAATATATGTGTAGAATATAAAATTCATGAAATAGTAATAATTTTACAAATTCAAGTTCTTAATATGTACCATACCTGTTGTTCATTTTGTATTCCAAACATACTTAGAACAAAACTTTGAACATGTTTGTAAGAAAACAAAGTTTAAGAACATTTTCACAAATAGAAAATTAAAACTAGTAGCAAAACTAGAATAAGAAACAGATTTAAAAAAAATATACGAAATATTTTTCATAAAGAAGAATTGTTGTTAATATGTATCTAAAGAATCTTACTGATTCCAACAAACTTTGCAGAAACATGAAGTTACCAAGTGTAATGAACCACTGAAGAACAAAAGAATAGAAGAACTAAAATTAATTCACAAATCTAAAGTTTGTAAAACACGTACCAGAATCTGGAAAATTTTTAATAGGAAAAAGATCAAGTCCACTGAATTCACAGTGTCCCCTTAAGGAAATTATTTTTCCTCTGGTATCCGAGGTTTGATTTTGAATATGACCTCCCAGGGTAAAATGATCTCAATCACCAGAGTATAGATACCAAAAACTCCAGTGTCAGCGAACCACTCAACGGCAGTAAAGTACACTTAGAATTCTAGATTTAGTAGTTGAAGAAGAAGTCCATTAAATTCTATTTAAAATTAGAGGAAATTCCTCAATTTATAGAAAACAGAGGATAGTGCGAAAATGTTCTTATTGTGCCTTACCGGAAAGGTCACAAACCTTTGAAAAAGTCACAATCTTTCAGAAAAGTCGTCACCTTTCCTAAAAGTCACAACTTTCCATAAAAGTCACAACTTTTCATAAAAGTCACAAGTTTTCATAAAAGTCACAATTTTTACTAAAAGTCGCAACTTTTCATAAAAGTCACAACTTTTCATAAAAGTCGCAACATTTCATAAAAGTCGCAACATTTCATAAAAGTCACAACTCTTCATAAAAGTCGCAACTCTTCATTTTTCATTCACACCTTTTTAAATCCAACAGTACCTAATATTGCGATATTAGAAAATAATACCGATTAATCTTAATGGTGTCATGGATTACCGTAGAAGCGCGAAAAAAGTTATCTAGTCTTATATATAAGAGCTTTTAAAAGGAAAAAAAACATGTTTTTATAACACCGCTCATTTAAGCTTACCTTCTATATTTAGAATTCAAAATCCACTTCTTCAAACTTGTAGCGTAAAGAACAAATATTATAATAAAAAGAAATAGTGAATTTTAAAAAAATGATCTTATTATTCATGATTTGTACAGGGAGTACAAGAAAGCAACATAAAATTATAACTAATAGGAAATGAATGGGTTAAGTAATAAAACATCAAAGCTCATATAATTAAGTAATTGTAAGGATTAATTAAGTTACTGAAGCTATTTATCCATGAACAAGCAGTGAAAACAATGAGAAAGAAGGCCAGAGGAGAAGTTGAAGCAAACTGGTCCATGTCATTAAGTATGAATTTTCCAATTAGAAAATAGAAGATCTTGTTCAATAAATTAATGGATGATTATTGCCATTGGAGTTTGAATCTTTCCCTCAATAAATCATTCTTTATTTTGTGCATCAAGTTGAAATCTGAATAGGAACAACAAAATAGAAGATTAGAGATTTATTTGGAAGAAAGAAAAGTCATATATCAAAAAAATTATCACAATTCAAATAGATACTCACTTGATTGATTCGGGAGAATGGTTGAGCTCCTAGAAATACTTAGTAGTGAGTTGGAGGTGGTGGAGAAGCATAAATGTATGTTGGTGGAGCAGGTGATTTCACGGGTGGAAGAGGTGAGCTTTACTAATAGGGTGGAGGAGGAGACTTTACTAGTGGAGGTGGAGAGTGGTAGTAGTAAGGTGGGGGAGGAGAAGGAGATGGTGGAGGAGGTGACTTGTAGTAGTAGTGTGGGGATGGTGGAGGAGATGGGGAAGGTGGTGGTGGTGACTTGTAGTAGTAGGGTGGGGTAGGTGACGGGGACGGAGGAGGAGGAGACTTGTAGTAGTAGGGTGGTGGAGGAGATGGGGAAGGCGGTAGCGGTGACTTGTAATAGTATGGTAGAGGGGGAGAAAGGGATGGTGGAGGAGGAGAATTGTAGTAGTAAGGTGGTGGAGGAGATGGTGATGGTGGTCTTGGTGACTTGTAACAGTATGGTCCAGGTGGAGATGGAGATGGTGGAGGAGGGGACTTGTAGTTGTATGTTGGTGATTGTTATGGTGATAGTGGTGGTGGAGACTTGTAGCAGTATGGTGGAAGGGGATATGATGATGGAGGAGGAGGTGACTTGTAGTAGTAGGGTGGTGGAGGTGGTGACGATGGTGGTGGTGGGGACTTGTAATAGTATGGTGGAGGAGGAGATGGTGATGGTGGTGGAGGAGACTTGTAGTAATAA